TTTTTTTTTTTTTTTTTTTTTTTTTTTTTTTTTTTTTTTGACAGAATGTTGTGTTTATAAAACGTTGTAACGGATTTAGTTAAAACTATGTTTGTTGAAAGGTTGCAACGGATTGCTTTCCTTCTATGTTTTGGGTTGGAATTAGTGTCCATAAACTAGGGTTTAATAAATAAATAAATATATAATATATTAAAGGGACCTTGTTTTAGATTAATCTCTCGATTTTGAATAAAAAATGGTATATTTTTTTCTTAGTTATATATTAATTTATATTACTTTAAGTTTATTTAAATATGAGTGAACTCATTAAAATTTGTATGGGTGGAACTAAAAAAATTGAAAAAAACCTATTTTCAATCATATCTAAATTTTTGTTAACCATTTACCGTTGGTCATATTACATACATAGTTGTTCTCTTATTCAGAAGAAGAGAGAAATGAAATTCTCTTTATACTCTAGTTCCATTGTAAAGATAGTTGAAGGTAATAGAAGGGTTATGAATAATTTTTCTCTAGAGCATTGTTAATAGAAATTATAAAATGATTATGGTAGTAATCACTTTGCATGACCCTCGGATGTGGGCTTGAAAATCTATTAAAATGAACTAAAATCCACTATGATATGTCCATGATACGATACGACTATGAGATGATACGTGAATGTTATGACATGTGTTATGATGTGATAAACTAATGATATGAAAGATGTTATGTTGTAACACGTTTGGCGGTATAGTATATGATATGGCGTGATGCATTATATGAATGATATAAGATAAGATGTGTCAATATGATGCACAACCTCGATTTATGCATTGAAAGCTATGATGAAAATGATATGATATAAAGAAAAATTGGAGGGGTTGTCTTATATGATAATGAATAAAAATGTTGCGACCTCATGCATCGAGGAAATACCCCTATTTTATGATGGTACAGACGCATACACTAAGAGGCATGAAAATGATCATTGTATTTATTATAATGCTACGACGGTCGCTATTCCTAACGGGGGGCTATCATCAACAGCTCCCAGAGAATACTCGCCCGACTATGAAAAGAGTCTAGAAGATGTGCGAACCGACTGGTGGGTCCATACTCGCACGTATGAACCATGTGTAGAACAGTTAATACACATCAGATTAACCAAGTTAGGATAATCGCCTAAGAAATATATACTGATATGATAGGTCCCACTTATGATTGTACAACTTCAATTGTGGAGTCACTTACCATATTTCTTAAAATACTCAAGCCACGTGATATTTCTACTCCAGATAAAGACAAGGCACCCCTGCACGACTGACGACAACATCGTAACTCAAGACTATAGCATATGCATAGGGTAGTTGTTTTTATTTTCTTAGAGTTAGGTTAGAATAGGGTGTTTTTAATTTTAATGCGTATTTATTTCATTTAATATTTCGTTGTGTCGTTTTAAATATGTTTTCGAACACGCAAGTTCATAGCAGTATTTTAAGATAAATTTTATGTTTTATGTTGAAGTTTCAAATGATTATATTCACAAAAATGGGTATGTTATGTATACCGTAGCAATTTTAGACTATCGTAACATCTAAGATCGTTATAAAACTGAGCTGGGATGGAACAGAACTCATTTGACAAATAATTTATCTAATTAAGTCCTAAGAGATTCCAACAATAACTTCTAAGAGATTCCATCAATAACTTCACATACCTTAGTAAGCCAATTTCAATAGCTTTATGCTTAATTTAGCTGATATTTGCTTAAGTTCAATCCTAATGGAGTCAAATTCCACCATAAACTTTCACACCATACAAGTATCAATACAAGTATCAATCTTATAACGCATATGTCATACCAGAAAAGTTTAAATTATTCTTGAACCTATAAGGAAAAACTCTTTAGTCAAAACAAAAGGAAAACCAACTTAGAATGCTAAACAACTTTCAAACTAGACCCAAATTTATCGTATACATATGTCGATATCATCAAGTAGAGACCTTCGCTATTTTGAAAAGATGATAGAAGGCATTTGATCCGATCCTTAGTAAGATTTTAATATTTCGTTCTGTTTTCATACTCTGTACACTTTTTTATTCGTTTTTGCAATTTATAATAGTTTACGATATTCCTACTATTTTTTTTTTTTTTTTATTAAAGTAGGTTTATTATAAAATTTTGTCACTATATAGTTTATAAAACTTTATAAATTGTAACAAAATTAATGAATAATAATGTGAGTAAGAAACTAATATTAAAAGTCCAAAGTTTTGGTAAGAGTTGTTGTCTACTTAAGTCTCTAAAATAGCTTTGTAGATTAATTTTATAGATAGCATTATAACATTACAATAGATAATAGATAATAAAGAAATGAAAGCATGTTCATGCGATCTCATAAACCCTATTTGCATCCATTTTAGTCCCTTTTTTGCCAACAATGTCAGCAATGAACAGATCAAGATTCCGGTGAGAAGAACCACCGTCCTCCACCGCTCTTTTCCCCGCCTCCATCAGCTCAGCAGCCCTTTTCGCCATTGCCGTCGCGTTCGGGCCGTCGGTCATCTCCCATATGCATCTCTCCACCTCTTTTGAACTAACAATTCCCTCATCTCCCTTCCTTATTCTCACACCCATCTTGAAAACATCTGTCAACAATTTGGCATTCGTAGGTTGATCCGTCCACTCCGGAAATGCTATCACTGGAACCCCGGCCACCACCGTCTCTAGCGTTGAGTTCCACCCACAATGAGTCATGAAGCAACCCACTGCTTTGTGCTTCAGAACCTTGTTAAGAATCAACGTACAAAACATTAAATACTTGCTTGACCAAGTGATAATTTATAAGCTTTTTTTTTTTTTTTTTTTTTTTCTCTTTTCCAAGAAAGAAATTATATTTGGTAATTATTAACCTTTCTTACAAAAAAAAAAAAAACAAAATGTTAAACAAACCTGTTCTTGAGAGCACCAATTCACGACGAGCCCCCTCCCACCAGCAGCCTCAAGAAACCCATCCGGCAGCCGAACAGTGCAACCCTCAGTAGATTCCTCAGGCGACGGTCGCTTGAACACCCAAAGAAACGCCTTCCCACTCATCAACAACCCATTAGCAATATTGTCAACTTGCTCTTGAGACAAAACAATAATACTCCCAAACGACACATATACAACTGACCCCATGTCCCGCCCATCCAGCCATTGCAGGCAAGAATCATCCGCCTTCCACATGTCTACGCTTAGCCCACCCTCCCCCACTTGCTCCTCCTTCCCAAGCAAAAATGGCGATACTAATGGCCCGATTGGCGATATCGTCGGCCGAACAACCCCACCATTCATGGACCCCAAAACCTCCTCCTCCAGCTCGTCGAACGAAGTCCCCAAAACCCACTTCACCTCATCCAAAAAGCTGAAAAAATCTGAGAGGAGTTTTTGGAAGCAAAGATAAGCGTTGGGGTGGATGAAGGTAGGGAGGTCTTCGAAGTTGAGTAATGGCAAGCCGGGTAATTGGAGAGGCTGGTTCTTGTTTTGTAAAATGGCGAACTCATTGAGTTTGTTGAAGAAACGATAGTAGATGGAGTAGAGAGCGCAAGGCTGGATCCAAAGCACAGCGCAAGGGAGGTTGTTTTCTTTGGCAATGGGTACGAACCAAGGCACGAATTGATTTAGGATTAGGCACGAGAATTTTGTGCGTTGGGATAATTTAGCAATGAGATTTGAGAGATTCTTACTACCTTTAGTGCTTAGAGCGTTGATCCAACTATCATAATCGGTGTTCGTGTCAAATTCGAGATCGAATCCATCGGAGAAGAACTCGAATTGGATTGATGGGTCGGCGCGATCGGCGGTGGTCGTGTGTTTGAGCATACGGTGGCGTGCTATCTCGCCCGTGGCAATGGTGACATGAATGCCCTTTGAGATGAGGCATTTGGCGAACTTGAGCATGGGGTTTAGATGGCCTTGTAAGGCGGCTGAGGCCATGAGAACATGGATGCTTTGATGGAGCTCCATTGTTTTTGAAGTTCCTATGTTTTGGGTTGGAAAAGGTTTAGGAGAGGTAAAATGGTGAGGGGTTGGTATGATGAGTCTAAAATGCAAATATGGAGAGCACATGGAGAAGTTCCAATACATTGTGAAGTCATTTTGTTTTAGAGAGGTGAAAAATAGGGACAGTTATAGAATTAGATTTTTCCAAAGGCCAAACTTTAAACAAATGGCCCAATTGCTTCTTTTTAATTATAAATCATTTTTATATCTAGGAGCCTATATCCACTCATGTCTAGAAGCCTCAATCCTTCGTCCATGCTCATCTAAAACAACTATTCAACTTGCTTAAGCTGCCTTATTTAGTTTCGTAGTTATTACGTGCAACAATCCATGCCTAGAATTTAGAATCTAATTTCACCGGATGGTACTCACGTGCATCTATTGTGATATGGTTATGTTACTTCTTGCTTTTAAAAGTGAGGAATGTCCCAACAAACCAACACGAGTTCTTTTATCATGTTTTATTCTCACTCACATGTTTCTTAGGAAAATTCATAGGAAGTCACCTAACATAAGATTGCTTCACGTAAAGTACAGTTAATTTTCGAGTTCTTGTAACTGAAACACTAAAAAGAAAGGTGCTCTTTGTTTGAGTTAGAAGTAAATTTCAATTATTTTAAGCATTTCTTAATCATTCTATCTTTAATAGTACTGTCATTGCACTATAGTATCAAGCTATTCATGTACCTCTACTTTACTCAGGTGTCATATTTGATGGTTAATTTAATACATGCGGAAGCAATTTGGATCTTAGGCACTTTAAGTACATCAATTATAGTAAATTAGCTACCATGTTCAAAAGCACTAAAACTCAATGAGTTTGAATACTAACCTTTTGTAGTTCAAATTCCTTTTTCTTCACGAACCGATTTTGAACCACCACTAGTATCTTCCCTATTATCCTCCGGCCTTAGAACGGAATTGTGAAATCAAGTGAGTGACTAAACTTGAAAGGAATTTAGTATGTGTAAAGAGAGAGTTTTGAGAGAATTTCTCAAAGTTTTTTTTTTTTTTTTTAAGAGGACTTTCATGTACCTTGATCACTCTCTTTATAAAGTGATATTTGCATGTTCATGCAAATGTGGGATTACCAAATTTTGACACTCAAAATTCTACTCAAATTTGTGAAATTATGTGGCAAGCATGCAAGTTTGAGTTACCAAATTTTGACACTCAAATTTGTGGGATTATGTGGCAAACATGCAAATTTGATTAAACCATATATTGACACTCAATATTCCACTAATTCAAATATAGATTTTTCTATTAATTGACTTTCTCTATTTTAATTCAACCATTAAATTTTAAATCAAAATAATATTAAAAGATTAATTAAACAATCTAATTAATATTTAATATTAAATGCCAATTTCAATTCATTCCCGCACATATTTATTAGGAATTCCTATTCATAATTAAAATATTTAAATCTTATTTAAATATCTCCAACTCTCTCTTTTTGTTTAATTCATAATTAAAACCAGTCAAATATATGGTATATATTTAGCGCATATTCTCTAATTTGAGTTCAAACACTTCAAACTCACTCGTCAGATTGTTCTGAGGTTTAGTCCGATATGAGCTAGCAGGAGACCTAATGGACCTACAGATCATGGGCTCCAACGATTTGAGATTAACTGGCTAAACTCATTAACCTTGTTAACCAACATTCGTTAACTATTATGACACTCCACTATAGCCTAGTAGTTGCACTCCCCTCACTATAGATATATTTTTGTCCATTTGATATAACCATGATTAATAAGTCGATCCTTCACAGGTTTTTCATAACTAGAGCTGGGTCAATTTACCGTTTTTACCCTTAAAGTTACTTCTTGTTCCTTAAGTCCCACTGATCCTCTAATGAACAATTGGTTTGTGGTCCAACCACCAAACCGAATCCCTCTCGGGCCAATGAGAGGGTAGGGCCCCTTGTTCAAGACCTGAAGTCAGTACTTAAGGGAACAACCTCTCTACTATCCCTAAAAGCGGGTAGGAGTGAATTCTATCTTGCACCCTATGTCCCCAGCTATTAACCTAGTCTTACCCTTGAAATCGGAGGCTTATTGAGTCGGCGAACTCGGACCACTCTCACCCATGCAAATCTAAGGATAATTATGAATAAACAGGAGTTCATAGTTAGCTCAGAATTAAAGTCGAGTTACCTAGGTCATCAAGTGAAAAAATTAGTCTCAACAGTAAACGACATTATAAAGTGAGAGTGATTTTCTTCATGGTCCGATCTTATGCAGTACTCATTGCAAAGGACGCCCCCACTCACATGTCTCCATATGTACAATTTAGTTATCACATTGTTTATATACAAAAGTGGGTCGCATCTGTAGTGTCCCGAGGATAAGGTACTCAACCTTATCCCTATACTACAGATCATTTTGACTATATATTTGAACTTCGATCCACTTTTATGTCTCTCCATATAGTTGAAGTAATCATACACTATAGCAAAAGTATTCTTAGTTTATTGAATTTAGATTAATGATCGTAAAATTCAATTTATTCAATAACAATCTTTACGAATAAACATCAATAATAACTTTTTTGAAAATGAAATATGTTTTTGTTTACCAACAATGAGTTTTATGATATAAAACCCAACAACATTATCATAACTAAAATCACTATCACAACTAGTTACTTGCTTGAATCATCAGCTTAGTGACTCAAAAGAGATAAGGAATCCTAAATTTAACGTCCCTATTTTTCTACTGACCTAAAATTACTATCGTCATCATAACATAATCTCTTATGTGGAAATAGACATTAAAAACTTCAACATTAAATACTGTCATGGACATACATATTCGAAAACATCTTTAGAATAATATAACAAAATACTAAATAAAACCAATAAACATTAAAAGTAAAAACACCCTATACTAACCTAAAGTCTAAGAAATGAAATACTGTCAGTCGTACATGAGTGTCTTGCTTTTACTTGGAATAGAAGTAGCACACGACTTGAGTATTTTAAAAAATACTCAATAAGTGACCTATTGTTAAAACCATCATAGAGATGACGTTCTAACAAAAATGAATTTGTAGTATTTCACTACACATGACTCACACGTGCGAACGCGAGTCCCCAAACGGTTCGTACCCTCCTGGACCCATTATAGTCAGACTAGCTGTCTGTAGCCGGATGTTCAGATGTCAGCAAATCCCCAAATATCAAGCGAGACATGATCATCATCATCATAGTGTACTCGTCCGTACTCATTATCATAAATAGGGAAGTAACCCAATGTATATGAATACACAATAAGCATGAGATCCCTGTAGTTTTTATCTTTAAATCATTCTTATAACACAACCCTATACATCATTCACACATTACTCTAGGTAACATGCATGCATTAGCCTTGATACATTCATCATCATTAACATCAATTAGGATGGTGCCTTAGAAAACTCATCGTCATAATGCATCATGACATTTAACACATGTGCATCATCTTAATATGGAATATCATCATATCAAGTTATCACATCATCATGCATCTTATATCATCATGTTATCATGCATCATCATCATCATGTCATCATATCATCATATAATATTATCACATGATCATAAAATATCTTTACATCATCATAAAACATCATTACATCATCATATAACATAAATCATAAATGACACGTGCAAAGGCCACTGGGCACGTGTCGTCATACATAAGACAAGTCTTCCGATTGAACCTAGTAAGACTACTTACTTGAATTACCTTAGCTGATGTTCTCTTTAATTTGAATCTGCTAGATTATGTCCCTCGAAGTTAATCCAAGTGTCGTTGAGATTTGCCCTATCGAAACAACCCCATAATTTACCCTTAATTGTTTTAAGAAAACAGACCTCATACTAACCTTAATTATTTTAAACAAGGTCAATTTTAGCTCCTTCAAAACATAGGAATGGATATCAAAATTGACAACCCGAGTCGAACAATAGAATTTTGAACTGAGGAGCTGCGCGAAGCCGAGCCGAATGAGTCGGCACGTACAGATAGTGACATGTGTCGTTGAGGGGAGTTGACGAAAGGGGATCGCAATCAGGTCGAGGCACAAATCTTGGGTCAGATAATGCGGGCGCGCGGGATGCAGAACTAGGCCGTGTAGGCATGGACCATGTTTAGCTATTGGGAAGTGGCTGTGATGTTCTTGGGCTTCGGGTCGTGGACTGATGCAAATGGTTTGTTGGGCTGAACCACGAGTTCGGCTGCAGGCGCACTCTAGAGGGTTTTTGCATCTTGTGAATCAAGAGGGAACTTATTGAGTTGTGGTTGACAATGACTTTTGGCTCTTAAAAATACTTTATTCTCTAGTTTTATAATAGATTTTCAAGGTTATATAAAATGATTATGTTTGTTAAGGATAGTTGACCGTTCATTAAGGCAAATATCTAGATATTTGCCTTACATTACGGGTTACCATATTTTCTCTTTTACTAAATGCAAATATATTGTATTCATTTATTATTCTTTCCTTTTATCGCTATTTCCTTATTATTTGTAATTTACCTTATTTCTGTATTCTGTAAATGATTATAAATAAGAGAACTCTCACCACCATTTGGGTGTGGTGGATTAATCAAACATTCACATGGTATCAGAGCCCTTTCGGTTTAACAACCCTGATCCTTTCTTCTCTATGGCTTCCGAATCTTGTTATCATCTTCTTCCTTTCAATACTCTAATCCATATGATCACCATCAAACTTTCTTCCTCCAATTATCTTCTTTGGAAAAGCCAACTTCTCCCTCTTCTTGAGAGTCAAGACATGCTGGGCTATGTCGATGGAACTATGGTTCCACCACCTCGCTTTGAACCAGAAACCTCCTCAACATTCAACCCCAAATATTTGGCATGGAGAGCAGCCGATCAACGACTTCTCTGTCTCCTGCTCTCCTCTCTCACTGAGGAAGCCATGGCTGTTGTCGTTGGTCTCTCTACTGCACGTGATGTTTGGCTTGCGTTGGAAACTACGTACAGCCATCAGTCAAAAGCTCGTGAACTGAGACTCAAGGATGACTTGCAGTTGATGAAACGTGGCACAAAACCTGTTGCTGAGTATGCCCGTGCCTTCAAAAAAATTTGTGACCAACTTCATGCCATTGGCAGACCCGTCGAGGACATTGATAAAGTGCATTGGTTCCTTCGTGGACTCGGCACCGAATTTTCAGCTTTTTCTACTGCTCAGATGGCTCTCACCCCTATCCCCTGTTTTGCAGATCTAGTCTCTAAAACTGAAAGTTTTGAGTTGTTCCAGCGCTCCCTTGAGTCCTCTGACTCCACTCCTACAGCATTCATAGCCACTAATCGTGGCCGCACCCATGAAAGTCACCCTGCTTCCTTTACCAATCAGCGAGGTCGTTCTTATTCTCACAAAAACAACTCTTCTAATCGAGGACGAACCCACTCAAGTCAGGGTCGTCGACCACCTCATTGCCAAATATGCCGCAAAGAGGGCCATTATGCTGACCGCTGCAACCAACGGTATGTTCGACCTGATTCTTCTCATGCTCACCTTGCTGAAGCCTTTAACACGTCATGTTCTATTGCTGGACCCGATGCTGCTGATTGGTTTTTGGACACTGGAGCTTCGGCCCATATGACTGCCGACCCATCAATTCTGGATCAGTCTAAAAATTACACGGGTAAGGACTCTGTGATTGTAGGAAACGGTGCATCCCTACCCATTACCCACATCGGTACTCTTTCTCCTGTTCCAAATATTCACTTATTAGATGTCTTGGTTGTCCCTCACCTCACTAAAAATCTTCTTTCCATAAGTAAATTAACGTCTGATTTTCCTCTCTCCGTTACATTTACTAATAATCTTATTACTATCCAGAAT